AAATTACAGGTTTTAAATGGTATTTTATTAATAATGACAGCAGAGTTTGAAATTTATTTTATATCAGATCTTAATCTTATTCACTGAAAAAAATTATTCCTGCATACATAACTGGAACAGAAGAAACATGAAAAAATAAATCCTTATAATTCTGCTTTTTAAATGGGCGTGCGTGTGTGTACGTGTGTATAAAGTAACACGATCAGAAGAGAATGTGAGACGGCCCTGACGGGGGTGGGTCGCCTTAGGCCTGGTGCTCTTCTACTTCTCATCTCTGATTGGCCACAATCAACAGACGGGAGCAACAGTCACAGCTATCATTTACTGAGCATTTACCAGGCATCAGGCCCTGACCTTAGTAATTTAAACTTTATAACTCTAAGGTAGATACTATTATCATTCCCATTTCTCAAGTGAGGAAACTCAGCCACTAAGAAAGCATATACTTGGCCCAAGTTAACAAAGTTGGTCAACAGCAGAATTAGAATTCAAACCCATGCAGCCAGTCCTAGAGTTTACACTGAACTATGCTCTCCTCCCTAGGCACGTAAGAATTCTGTATCTGAAGAGTGGGGAAATCCTGGATTAGCACCACCCACTTCATGGACATAATTTAAGGAAAAAGTGAAAAAGTAGCAACCTATAAATATGAAAGCGAGTTGTCAATTATTTCAAGTAAATGTCAAATAAATCCTTTCAAATAAGCTATAAAAATAAAGATATCAAAAAATGACAAGGGCAAGCAGAAAACTGCGAGGTAATAACCAAAACTGAGTTAGGAATAGTACACTTTACTCACGATGGGGAAAATAATACGATTTTTAAAAAATTCCTAACGTTCCTGCTGGTGACAAAGAGAAGCTCAGCTAAAAACATATGAAAACTATGTAGCTGTTAATCCAAGCTACAAAGGAAACTCACAGTTATGCAACTAGATGTCATACAACTACACTCACTTTAAACAAACAATTTAACAACAGTAACAGCTATCATTTATTGAGCATTCACCACGTACCAGGCACTGATGTAAGAATTTAAACTTCATTAACTCTAAGGTAGATACTATTATCATTCCCATTTTCAAGTGAGGAAACTCAGCCACTGAGAGACTACATATTTGGCCCAAATTAACAAAGTTAGCCAACAGAAGAGTTACAATTCAAACCGTCTAACCTGCAGTCAGGTTCTAGACGCTACACTGAACCACCACGCTATACTCCCTATCTTTCCAAAATCAAAGCATCTTTCCAAAAGTATATTCTTCCAAAACCAAAGACCTACTTTGTAATTAAAAGACAGACTGTCAAATCAACTTCACATATAAACTATATCGCCGATGATTAGGAAGCCAAGAGAAAACAGTGATTGATTCTTGGTAAAAATAATAGGTAACTACTTTTAGATTGGGCTTTTACTTGAAAAAGGATGATTCCTATTTATACTCTCAATGGGCACAAAATTAACTAAATTATAGAAAATTTTAATGTGTGCAAAATAAAGTGTACTGAGTATACACATGAAATTAAACTAACTGCTGTCACTGATTTGTTTTTTCAAGTATAAACATAAGACAGAAAAAAATAAAACTTTGCATTTAATAAACAATATAGGGCTATAGCCAAAACCTGTTCTTTTTCAATATTCTGCATCAAAATTATTGAACCAGTTTCCCAAAAAAAACACACACTGAGCAGTGTATAACCTGAAAATAACCTGACTTATAAACTTTAATAGCGATTAATTAAAACCAAATATAGTTTTAATTTTTTTAAACAGTGAAGTTTGTCACTATTTTACTCTTTTTTACCACAGCAGTAATCCCTATTATTCCCAGCATTACAAACATATCGGATATAAATTACTTGTTTTCCTCAAAATAATACTTTTCTGTCAGTTGCTTACCGTAGAAGCACTGAAATTCAAATTAATGGTAAATCTCAGTTACTAAACAAACAAAATTCCATGGCCCCAATTTTGCAGACACCTCAAGAGATACTAAAGATCGGTCTTCATTTTCAGTTTTTCCTTTCTAATTCCCCATACCCTTTAACATCTGACATAAATATTCAAACAAATTATACAAAATCAACACAACTAATCTGTCTGCTAACAACAGTAATCGGCAGCAGCCACCACGTACTGAAAGCTTACCATGCGCCAGGCACTGGTCTCATTTACTTAAACGTTATTATTACATCTTCTCATTCAAGACACGTATTATTATCCTTAGTTTACAAATGAGAAAACTGATGTGTACAGAACTTAATAAACTTGCCTAAGGCCAAACTGCTAATAAGGTATGGAAATGAAATTTGAACCCAGGCAGTATAATTCCAGAATCCTTACGTAAGACTGCCAAAGTAACATGTCTTCTCTTCTTGAAGAACCACTGCGCTGCCATTTTTGAACTCAACGTTTCTACTTATCTTCTTTTCAATGTTTTATTCTCAACTCAATTTCCAAAACTCTTTTACCTCCCAAAGTTTTACAAGCTCTAAAGTAGGGATGCCTGCTTTAAAATACTGATTATGCCACTCAGTGTGTGATGCTGGGCCTGCTTCATCTCTATGACTCAATGTCCTCATCTGTAAAATGAAAAGGATACAAAAACCTATTACACAGCATTTATTCTGAGGGCTATAAGAGATAATACATGTAAATTACAAAACAATATCTAACACACATATGCTACGTTATTCTGACACTTGCAACTTTTGCAAATACAGTTCTCTAGGACAGTAATGATTTCTTGATTTTGACACAAAAATCCAAATGAAAATCAACATGAAATCTTTTCTTATACAATGTCTCAGAATCCTTAAAACGGACAGTACTACAATTCAGCTCATAGTATTTGTAAGAATTTCAACAAGATATTTTACAACAAATTTTACACAACAAAGTTTGTATAAACATTGGTGATTACAATGGCCTTTTCAGCAATATATAGTTTGGCTTTTTAAAATAGTGGGTTCAAAAAGATTATTAAAAACTTCAATTCCTAAAACCCAAAATTATGAAAATCAAATATTCTTGTAATTTTTTTGATGGTAAAACCTGACCTGAACAGATGTGATACCGTTTATCTCAC